GTCTATGTTATAAATGAATCAATAGGATCAATCTTAAGCTTTATTAGAACGTCAAAACACGATTTTCAATATCGATGCAATTTAACCAACATTGGAACTTCCAATACAACGCATAAAGCACAATTTCGCAAAGTTAACATCCTGTAACTTAAAATGGAACGACAAAGAAGAAACAACAAGTTACAACATCATCTAGTTATCAACTTGAAAATGAAATGCGAAATCAAACAAAGTGGATACTCGGACGTCACGCCGGATCAGACCGACAACATAGTTACTTTAGGGTTACTAGCCCATGGGTAACCTCCCTATGTGCGCACTAGACTATATATAGAGGGACTATCCCTCGTACTAGAACCACGTCCTAGCCATAGCCAAACAACGACATCCCCAAGTTTTCAAAATCAACAAGTAGTGCAACAACGCATATATCAACAAGAATATGCAAAATAACCAACTATCTACCAAGCACAACCAAATTTGGAAACATATACAATACATGCTCTACGTCCACAATTAAGATGATGTGATGAATGTCGAATCTTCAGTGTGCGATTTGTTACACGCTATACATGAATGATGTTAAATACGAAATGTGCAAATCATTACACAATGCAACAATATATTCAATAAGGAAAACATATTCTCATGAGTATAAATATAGCAACTATGTTATCCAATGCTCAAAATATAACCAAATGAATATACAACAAGTCTATGTCCAGGATTTCGATATAGAAACGACTTTCAAACATAACTAAATCCATGGCTCAATTCGATAGAATTTAATTAAATAAAAATAATTAAATTCCCTAGATTCTAATTCAATTCCAAATAACCTCAAATTAATACATATTAAAGAACATGGCATGGTCATCACCTATATCCATTCTAAAACTTAATTAGGTTATTGGAACAACAAGGTAGAACTCTAATTAAATCATGCTAATTTAATTACCAAGGTTCTAAAGCAACTTCAAATGGTCCACAAGTAATATATATTAGTAAACAAGTCATGGCCAATACAAATATCAAGTTAAAATCTTAATTAAGCTAATGGGACCACAAAATAGATTTTAATTAATTCTTTTAATTAAAATCTCTTGATTTTCAAACTTAACCAAATGCTCTCAAATTAAACTATGTTGGAAAGCATGCCAAGAACTAATGTAATATCACATTACAAGTTTATTTCATTCAATTTAAGACCATGTGAATTAAACTTTCACTAAAGTTAAATATAAATTAAAAGTTGCAATTCTCATGCAATTAATCCCAATTTAATATATGTGAACAACTATACTTAAGCTTAATTTTCTAGCATGCCACAATACAATTCCAAGTTGTATATCACCATGAGGATTAAATCTTAAAAATGGAATTTAATTAAATAAAAGGTTTCAAAACCTAACCGAATATTCTAAATCAAATATGTGTGAAGCTATATGGCATGTAAATCAAGAATATCAAGTCGGAATTTAAATAGAGTGAATAGTGCACTCGGGGCAAATTAATTAATCAAATTAATTAATAATTACTAATTTTCAAAACACCTCCAATCACTTTCAAATTCAACTATGTTGGAGAGCATGCTAAGACCTAATTTAATATGTTAGCACATATTGATTTCAAGCTAGTTAAGGCCATGTGAATTAATCTTTCACCTAAGATAAATATTAGATAAAATCTTTAATACTTATTTAAATGTTCCAATTTTAATACACGACAATGAGCATATCAATGGGCAATATAAAATCATGCTACATGTTTAAACCAAGTCATGAGCAACCGGGAAAAGTAGATCCCGTACAAGAAAAATAAATAATAAAATCTCTAGATTTTATATTTAATCATGCAAACAAGTAGTATAAGCTTCACAAGCATGCTATATAACAAGAATTTAAACCTAGAACATCTCCTACCTCAATTTGAGATGAAAATCTCAAAAGCCATCAAAATGGAACGGCTCCGAATCCGACGAAACTACTAGGTATCGGGGACAACGCCGTGAACATAACCCCCATCAAAGCCTCATCAAAATCATAACTTGACCTCAAAACCAAACTCAAGAAATGCTCAAAACTGAATTCTAATAAGGAGGAAAGGTAGAGCACGTCGAGGGGAACAACAAACGTTAAGGCCGAAGACTTTCCATCAAGGAAAAGTGAACCAAAAAAGGAGAGAGGGCTTTCATGGGAGCTCTAGGTCATGCATGAAGAGGGGAGAAGATGAAAAATGAAATATCTCACCCCCCTTTTATAAAATCTCAAAAAGTGCCCCGAACGGGCCCCGCCGGGTCCGAAAAAGTAAAATTTGAGCAGATGCACTCAAATAGCAAAACTTTGTGAATGAAAAAGATTCAAAATGATAAAATATGAATAATGAAAGAAACGGCGTCAAAAACTGAGTCCCGAGCAGAAAGTTATGCCTAAAACAAGTTTGGCGCAAACTGGGGCCAGAAACCCTGAAACTGGAAAACATCGACCAAGAGGAAATTCCAAGAGTACATAACTCGATGAAATGTGAAAATGAATCCTGTACGAGGACCCAGGCTCAAAACAAGACATTTTGCAATAACTTTCATTAATTGCACAATGGCCCCTCCAAAAAGTGAAAATTGTACTTATGGCCTAGAATAAAAATATCTTCCTAAAATATTTTCTTAAAATCCCCTAAAATAAAATATCTTCAAAAGATATTTACGAAAAACACTCCAAGAAAAGAAAATAATTTCAAAGAACTTTGCATCCATGCCCCTATGGACACAGGGAGCAACCAGAGTACTTTCTTGTAAAAGTAAAGATACGTATTTCGAGAAAACCACTCAAGATGAAGGTACGTGAAGTCAAAAACCAACTCCGAGCATGAGAAGTGAGGTTGTGCCAAATACTGACAAACGGAGATAAGACAGAATAGGGAAAAGGATGAAATAGCGCATAGTGTCGAAAAACGAAAAATATAAAAATGACTCGGTCCTCAAAGGAAGTTGTCAATCCACGGAAAAGAGTCTCAGGAACCAATTCCGAGCACTCGAGATGACACTAAGCGACACGAAACATAGCTCAAAAAAGAAAATTAAACGAAAAAAATTCATTCGTAAAATTTCAGGAAAAATGAAAGAAAGGCAAATGACTGGGTCGTTACATGGCAGGCAGAGAAGGAAGTAATTTTCTACAGTTGGAAATTTGCTGCTGAATGGGACACGTGTCAGCCAAAGAGGAAAGCAGTTACCTGCAGTTCGAAAGACGTGTGACTTTCCAAGTGGACACTTGGCAGCTAATAAAGAAGCAGTTACTTGCAAGTTAGAACCAGTTCCAGGTAGTTAGCAGATCATGGTCCATTCCATTTGACAGTTTCAAAACGTGGCTAGAAACCTTCAATTGGAATTGAACCACCAAAACCACTCCTTCAAAGCTGCAATTCACGGGACAATATGTTCTTACACATGTCAACATTGTGAGAAGACTAAGGAAGACATGGGACACGTGGCAAAAATCAGACATTCCACTTGGCACAAATCAGACGTTCCACTTGGCAACATCTCAACAACAAATAGAACTGCCACTGGTTATAAATAAAAGACTTGGATAAAATAAGAGGGCATCTCCACACAGATCAAACAACTCCTATTTTCATTTACACTTTATTTCAGTTCATGCACTTTATCTTTTCATAGTGTAATCTTACTTTTCAAGCACCTTAATTTCAACACATGTATTTCAATTCCTTTAATTTCCAGCACTTGTACTTCTGTTCCTAGTTTAAATTCAATTTAATTCAGTTCATTTCATTCTTCCAGCAGCACTTTCAACAAGCATTTCCATCTTTTTCAATTCCATCTTTCCATTTCCAAAGTCCTTTTCCACAAGGCAAAAAGAACCTTGCGAGAGCGGTCATTCCAAGCTCTCCATAATCGCCTGAACTTCAAGCCTCTCATGGCCAGATTTGGAATATAGTTTGGCTCTATTCCATCTCCGTTCTCGGCGAATCCTGGCCCTCCCGCACCTTCCACCTTTTCACTTTGGAACGGACAGAATTTTTGTGGCCAAACAACATGTATTTCAATTCTTGCAATTTCAATACAAGTTTGTTTTAATTCATTTACTTTCATGTACTTGCACCTTAATTCATTAGTTAGCATTGTAGTCTTGTTAAAAGTCCTTTTATCGAAGGCAAATCAAAATCTTCCACAATCACATGATCGTTTCAAAAGGGTTTCCTTTTGTCCGATTTTCTCTGAGTCTTCCGAGACTCTGACATGCCTGCACACTTCCAGTGTCCCAATTTTGTGCAAACACATAGATTGTATAAAACTGATATAAGTTAGTGAATAAGATTGATTTCATTCTGGACATTTCACTGTATATTCCCCCCTTCTCTAAATGGAGTGTTTGAATGTGGACTTTTTACAGTCTTCAAAGTATAAATAATGTAACAAAAAGAATGCAACTAAGAATTTGATGTACGAGGATTAAGTGCAGTGAAGCCCCTGACCACTTATCGTATAACGGTTTTGTACAAAGCATATGGTTTACGTAGAGTCTGAAAGTTAATGCTTATACCATCACAAGCTATAATTTATGTTTTGGTAAAAATCCCCCGTGTGGCGAAATTGCCTATTAGTTTTTCATTCTAAAAGACAGAAGGCAGAGAGGTGATTGTGACCAAATCGTGCAATCAAATGTGTTGGTTTTATTTCATATTTATTGTTGTCATATGGTCCAGAACTATCAAATAATTTCTCACATATTTGTGTCAAAATGTCGTACAAACGTCAGACATTGAAAATGTCAACGTGACAGAAAAAATTATGTTTTACACATATGTTGATGTTTCCATTAAAGGTTTTTTCCCTTTCGGTTAGCACATTCAGAGGACTATTGTGTATTTCTAACAATAATGTTTGTTCTAGGAGTTCATCAATATGTATAATGAACTTCCTTATGCCATCTATTTTTCTTCTCCTTCTCCCTAGGTTTGGCAGAGAAGCAGCATAAACATTTCAAGAAATAGCCATGCATATCTGACAATACATTCCGTAAAAAAAGTCGCGAGGATTTGAAACGTATTTACAAGATTTTAAATCCGAGCAGGAAAACGTTCTTCGACGATCTCTAAATTGCTCTGCTTTCTGAACAAATCACGATTTAAATACAACACAAGAAAAAAGGCTAACCTATTACAATTTACAATTCACAACAAGAACTCAAGCCTGTTTTAACAAAAAACAAGCTCTCAAAACCAATAAAAATCTGGCTATAAGACGACATCTCTCTCTATCCCCTTACGGGACCTCATCATCATCACCATCCTTGCCTTAATCCGTCTTACAGGAGCAATTGTATCAGGCTCACCGATTCTTCCTTTGAATGGTCACTTACAACCTATATCCCCAGATGTGAATGGGAAAGAGATTAAAGTGAAGAAATGGGGGCTTCCAAATGCTATGAATAGGGCAACCATATTTTCTGCTAATTCTCATCTTGCTTCTCCAAGTCTTGCATGTCAGCTGGTTCGGGAAAAATCTCACTGGACGATCTTTTACGTGAAGATGAATGATCATTTGCACCGCTGCCATGAGAGCTTACTCTCCCTGTATGTTTTACGCCACTGATACCCTCTCGATTTGTCTGGCCTGGACCATTGCCACTATCCGATGAGCTGTGCCGCCAACTACCAAAGAAAGCAGCACTCCAGGACTTCCTAGACGAAGTAGTACGTAGCCTTGCAGAGCTGTAATTTTCTTCCCTCACCACTTTCAGAGGGTTTTCCAGCGCTCTAAGGACATGTCTCATTTTCGGTCGTCTGGACGGCTTGGGATTAAGGCATGATTTGGCCACTACCGCCATTGCCCACACCTCTTCCAGTAGGTCCTCATTTACAAGCAGAGATTGGTCGACAATCTTTGACAGCAGTTCTTTCTCGTGTATACTGATGAAAAGTAGATTGTGCTCCAACCACGCGTTCATCACCGCATTATCTGACTTGCTGATGGCGAGCTTACCGGTCACAAGGCTCAGCAATACTTTTCCGAAACAGTATACATCATAAGCACAAGTAGCCGTTGTTGAGCCTGTCCATTTTCATAATAATGAACAAATAAGTAAACAATACATTAAAATTAACAAGCAATTACAATTTCATGGAGAATTTTTTTTCTTTCATATTTCGGAGAACTGCACGTACCAGAAGGGCCTTGGTCAGAGGTCCTGCACATAATCAAGAAAGAGAGATTACAACTTTTGAAAGGAAAATGAAAAACATGAAGAAGAGCACTAGTTTCATCATCAGCAAAGGGCAAGAACATTTAGGTAATTAATCTAATCAGCGGAAATCACATACTAAGCACACATCTAAACTTTAGTTTATAGGCATTGAATCAAAAACAAATTTTTTCTTGAATAAGTATGACAGAAAGCCACATCCTGACTGGGACATTGAGCTCTGAATACCTCATCAAGGGGTGACGGGAGATACAACTCAATCTATACAGCTGGTGGTTAAAATCTTGAAACTGTATATATGCTAAATATCTAGATACTTTATAGTGAGGGACAATTCAATGCATTAATTATATACCTAATGCTATCTCAAAAGTTTGATGTGCAAAATTGTAATATCAAATTTTAGCTACTCTGGTTCCTCAACAGTGTAATATAGACATTTTGGTTCAATAAATCTTATAGATGAAACTTAACAGATCCATAAAAGGTTCCCAGATATTATTTTCCAGTTTAATGGAGCTGAACACTAGAGAGAGAAAAATTTGTTCGATGAATTCTTTTGTAGTCCTTCTCAATCAAATTTTGATAAATCTCTAATTTGTATACTAATTATAGACACATTTATATTTAAGTTGATGGTAAAAAGTTATAAAGAGTCGCTACCCAGTGTGGTTGCCATTAATCGAGGGTATTGAACGCATGGACCGGATAGAGACCTAACCTCTGACATTATTTGTACAAAGTAGCTCCCTCTCAATCGAATATTTGAATTTTTATGCCAATGCATCAGCTACTGAGGTGAAATTTTTTACTATATTCTACGTAGTAAATTCTATACTAATCATTCTTCTTCATACAACATATTTGGGTATCTTAGTATATCTGCCACAATTACCCTATTAGCCAATGACATAACAAGCACATCAGTACAATGACCAGGCCACCAATGGCCATTAGCTTAAATGGTACGATCTCTTCTCCCCAAAGGGGAGAGTACAGAATGGCACTGTACCTAAGGTCTTCAAGAGTTGTGGCGTCAATACAACCAGGCCACCAAACAAAGGAATTTAAAGGATTGAGTGTTCGAGCCCTGCTAGGAGTAAATGTTATGGGTGGATGTGTGCATTTGCTTGAACTTTCATCAGAAAAAAAAATAAATAAATAAATAAAATAAAAAAAATCCACTATGATCAGGCCGATCGTAACTAGTCATGGATCCAACAATATATAATTATATGACTTAAATGATGCTTTTTGATAACTTAAAAAAGTTCATAGGGCATTTTATAATTTCTAGAGCATCCAAAAATCCACCTCTAATTATAATAATTCTAAAAATCGCCTTATTAACTTGAGCATGACCCTTTTCCATTACATAGGTCAATGTAGAAGCTGTGTGGAGAAAAGCTTCTACATTGACCTATAAAGCTATGTGCAGTCCAACATAAACCAAAGCAAATAATATAAAAAATATTACGGTCCTGTCAATTATAAGCACGACTTGAAAATGGCCAACAAATTAAAAACTGAAAAATACTTACAGTGGCATCCGCAGCAACCATGTGATTACATTCTGGTTAGTTTCCCCACCTTCGGCACAAACCTCACTCAAGCTTCCAAGCCGTACTTCATAATTATCATCGAGAAGGATACTGCTTGCTTGAATATCTCTTCAAGAAACACAAATAAAAAACATTCATTATTTGTACCCTGGACATAAATCCAGTACACCAAGCAATCAGAGAACTCTGTACACTATAAAGGATTGCATGGTCCAAATAACTGAAAGAAGAGATGTTAATGTAATCCAACCCCAGCCAAAACAGATTTGACAAATCTCCCTACTTGGAGATTAAATTTCAGTGAGCTCTCTACTACTACATATGAAAAAGTAGCTATCATTTAGAGAAACAGGACAGATAAGTATACATTCTCTAAGAGGATATTGTTCAGAATATGTATGATTCAAGGAAGGACCTTTATCCTCCACCCTTTGGAAAATAAATTTTTAGTATTTTCTTAGCCAAGGGGTGGGCATGCAATCCGAAATGGTAAGGGAATCAAGTCAAGAGTTGGCTCGTTACCGAAGGTAACTCATTCTCATATGAAATCCAAAATCAATTAATTGTGTTGAAAAAACAAAGTAAGTTAATAAGGCAATCAACTCAGGTCATACCTCAATTGCTCACTTAAACACAAAGAAAATGTATAAGGGTGCAAAAGGGTGATTTTACAACGTAACATCTACTACTAAGCAAAGAAAACGGCAATTACACAAAAGATATCACATAATTGGAAAATGTCACCCATCAGAAGCAAAAGAACAAAAGAATTGGTAAAAAAACAAGTTTTGTAGTACCTATGAACAAGAGGTGGATTGCACTCATGGTGTAGGTAGGACAAACCTTCAGCAGCTCCTATAGCAATTTTTAATCTTGTAATCCAATCCAAAGACTGTAGACTGCCATCTTCCAAGTTAGTAGACCTGTAAAAGGAATTAGACAAATCTCTGTTTGGCATATGTTTGTAAACCAGGAGCTTTTCATTCTCATTCTCCAAGCAATGCCCCAAGAGTGGGACCAACCTTGGATGCGAAACCTTGCTGAAAATATCCAACTCCAACATGTAAGATTCTTTCTTGATTGAATGCAAATCAATCCTCTTGATAACTATAGGGAACCCACTTTCAAATGTTCCCTGGAAGAAGTCTCCGGAGTGGCCGTGTTTGATAAGGTTTGTGTCGCTAAAACCACCCGTCGCTCGGAGCATCTGTTCATATGTAAATGACTGTCCCAGACCAGAAAAACTAGCAGAAACCTTAGGAGGTGGCGAGCTGCCTCCTTCCGGGACAGTCCCCGTACTTCTTTGGTTTGCATTTCTCTTCTTGCATGTTTTTAGGAGCACTACCAGCACCAATATCAAAAGAATAATGAGACCAAGTCCGCCAAATAGTCCCACCATTACATACGTCAATGGTCTTTTGCTGCTTCGCTCTGGCAGTGGATCTCCAGTTGGATCCAAGATTCTATCATCATAAAAAGTTAGACCTCTGTCAGAATAAAACTTTTGACAATCATCCGAACTTCTCTGATTGGACTGATTGGACACAACCTGAAGGCAATTTCCGATGATAATAACATTCGTTACTGTATAATTGGGAGCTTGCCCTTGCAAATAGTTACTTGACAGATCAACTAAACGAAAATCCCCATATCGAAAACTAAGATTTCCATAGAACAGATTGTTCGAGAAGTTGAAGGAAGTGCTGGCATTAAAAATTGTGGCAAGGTCGGGCAAAACACCAGTGAAGTTATTGCTGGATACATCAAGAAAACCCAATTGGGGATTTGACCACAAAACATTAGTAAGATCACCATCGAAATTATTCCTACCCAGAACTACATACCGCAGCTGAGTGAGATTCGAAAACAAGTTAGCAGGCAATGGACCCTCCAAACCATTATTCCCAACTAACATTTTCTGCAAACTTCTCAACCCTCCTAATTCCTCCGGTAATGACCCAGACAAAGAATTGAATCCGATATCAAGTTCAACCAGTCGAGAAAGTTTACCGAGCTGGACAGGGATGGAAGCAGTGAGGCTATTGTAGGAAAGATTCAAAAACTGAAGACCAGAAATTGAACCAAAACCAGTAGGGATCGGCCCAGAAAGATAATTCGAAGAGAGGTCGAGAATTGTAAGATTGCGAAGAGTCGAAAAGGACGACGGAATCGATCCAGACAACAGATTTTGAGAAAGATTAAGAACTGACAGAGATGATAACATACCCAACGTAGAAGGAATTGTTCCACTAAGCTCATTGTGGGACAAATAGAGTAAATTAAGTCTACTCAAATTCCCAAGCGACGAAGGAATCAGACCCGTAATTGAACAAGACCTAAGATCGAGCACTCGGAGTGCACCAAGGCTTTGGCCGAACGAGTCCGGTATCGACCCAGGTAGCGAAAACCCAGAAGAATTAAACGACTCTAATAGTGTAAATTTAGGCAACGAATCGACGGCAAATCGTGGATTGAGACGGCCGCGACGAGTCCGACTCAAGCCGGATATAGTTAATCCGACGACTCGGCCGTTTTGACACTTGACGCCGTTCCACTCTATGCAGGGATCGGTTTTTTTAGGCCAGTCTTTTGCCCTAAGCCCTAAAGACGACCTGAGCTCAAGCAACGCCGACCATTCCGAGTCAGAACTCAGACGGACCTGCTGCTGAGTCAACACTGAGTTGATGAGCAGGAAAATGAAAGCTATCTTGAGCTGAATTTCTTGAGCTTCCATATTGACCATGGATGAAATAGTGTGTATACAGAACTTAATCCTCATTACTGCATTTGGTGATGGTGATGATGGGGTTGGAGCATTTCATTACTGGACTCGAACTCTCCAACTCTATCTGCAAATAGTATTATGTGTGAGCATGGTCAGTAAATATGGAAGAAGACGATTAATAATAAATATGCCATTACTGTTTGTGTACTCTTACCTCTGTCACGAGCTTTGATTGCGTTTAGTGGTTGTGTTTCTTCAATGAACACACACTGGACTCTATCCAGTGTGTGCATATATGTATGTGTATGCGTGTCTAAATTTATGTATGTATTTATGAAACACTGTTTCTATTATTTCGATATTAATGGAAAGAGCGAGAGAGTGTTGCCGGAGGATTTTTCTCCGGGAAAGAAAAAGAAGGTCAGAGGAACATTTGCGGTGGTATCAGCTGTTGCGTGATGGTCTAATCATTTAAGATAAGATTGAATTCGGCTTCCCAAGTGAAGACCACCAACCGGTGTACCTGGTTATGTAGGAGTATTATTATTGGGAGAAATTCAATTTCTTTTTTTCTTTAAAAAAAATTGATAAAAATTTAAAAATTTAGAATTAGTGAAGCCCGCAACTATACCAAAACCATCCTCATCCTTACTTTCATCTCAATTTTTTTTTTTTTTCTACTTTTTTTAATCTATATCATAAGCCATGTCTCCTGCTATTTTTCTTTTTCCATTTTTTTTCTAATATATATATATATATATATATATATATAATATTAAAAGTAAATTTTTCTACACTTATTTTAAATAAAAGAAATGATAAAATTATTAGTCAAAAATAGATTGTAATTTTGAATATAACATCATGCGTGTGTTCGTATGTTTTTGTAGGTTGTATTGTAAAAGTCAAAGATTTCTCTTATATCTAAAAACGAATAATGATTTTATGACCTAAGACTTTAAATGTCAATTGAAGGGATTTGAATCCCTGAGATGCATCTGATGAGATTTTTTTAAATAAAATTCTAGTGATAATGTCCATTGAAGAAAATTTTCAATTCTATCTATTAATATTGTTTCTTAGAGTTTTAAGCTCAAATAACATTTTTCAACCACAAATAAAATAAAATAAAAAGGCAGCTAATTTAGAAAGATTATTCATTATAAAATAATAATAATAATAATAATTATTATTAGTCCCCCACGATCAGTCATGAATCTTTGTTTTGTTTTTTTTTTTGTATTATGTAGAGCAATTATTTAACTTCTAATACCACTTAATTACTAATGAATCCCTTATTTTGGTGGCACTGAATCATTATTCTTTCGTTTTAAGAAAATGAGAGCATGATTTTTGGTTACCTAACAGACAAGTGGAAGCGGATTGAAAGTTAGATAATGAATCTTAACATGTGGTCCAAACCTCTTTAATTTTTCTATCGCTTTTCAGCAGATTAGCTTTTTTGAATTGAATGCAGCAACAAAGCAAGTAGACCAAAAATTTCTCCAAAATCTTTGATAAAATGAACATTGCTTAGAATTTTCAATTTCAAAAGGAAAGACCAAAATAAAAATATCACAATATATAACGGTTGTGCCTTGTCTCGTGACACTTGGTATGTATGTTAAAATAAATTACACTTATCTTTACATATGTTTGAATAAATTATACACAAGTAAAACATTTATTATTTTAATCTATCTTAAATCCGCATCCGACTGAAAAGTATCTTTGAGGATGAAAGGTCAGCAATATCCTTATATTATAATAATATATTATATTACAATTTATACGGTGGAAGGATAAAATTATCATTTTATAAAATTTGGTCATAAATGCTGAACGATTTATCTGAGTGCAATTTATCCAAATTTCAAGAAAAACTAGTGTAATTCAGTCATTACATTACTTATAGATAATTCGGTCGGTTAGATTACAAGTTTATCCTCTTACCTACCATCTAGGATTCTTGTATATTACAATTACCATATATGATTACACCTACTATATTATTATCGATAGATTACTTTGTTCATCACTCACCTATCTTTAAACATTCTCCTAAACTTTTATGTAATCTTCAATTTATACAATGGAAGAATAAAATTGTCATTTTATATATCAAAGAAAACGTTAGGAATGTTATTGAATACGCGTCAAATTTCAAGAGAGATAAAAGTCGTAAATATTGAACAATTTATCATGTACAATTTATCTAAACTTCAAGATAAATGAGTATAATTCACTTATTACATTACTTATGAATAATTCGAAAAACAATCTTCAATATATCAATACAATATAATATTTTTTTTATTTCTTAATTTCTAAGACTATCAAAGTTTCTTATTAGAATAAATAAAATAATAAAAAATATGGATTTAATGTGTCCTCCATTAGTAGGTTGGGAGTCAATCAAAATTTCTGGTCAATCACGTAGACAATTGCAACACTATTTGTTGTCCTATCTCACTCAATTTCCAGGTCACATGAACAAATACAAATTACAAAGAGACGAACATAAAAGTAGGCTTAAACAGCGATTGAAGGCAAGTGATGTCACAGAGAGGTTTCACAATTATCTACGCGTATTCTAGCTTGCCCTATCAATTCTCAAATGGGTGGATCCACGGTCGAACCATGCGAGTTTGACGAGGTCCAACCTTCATAGTCTTGGGGCCTCACCCGACATATAGTCACCGTATTTACAACTAAGGTTGGCTACTACTATTATATATCTCCATCCAATCTCATAAGCGTGGTCGGCAACATGAATTCTCGAATCTCTACTTTAATATAAATTTTTGAGAATTGAACTTTTTAAGATGTAATTTTTAATTTTAATTTTAATTTTAACTTTTTTATATTATTATATTGACAATTAATAAATTACCAAACTTATCCATGGTGACCATGTGATGTTATTTTGTTTTTAGAAGTTTAATGCAAGAAGGATAAATTAGGAATGTTATAAAATATAGTACATTAATTTTGACTTAGGATAATTATTTTGAAATAGCTAAAGATGGAAATGTGGACACTTATTAAGCCACCGATGGAGTATTATATTTTCTTTTGAGATTGTTTTTCTACAGTTTGAAACCGTTTTTATTTTAAAAATCGCATTTAGGTATGTTTGATAACCATTAAAAGCATTTTTAATGGTTATAAATTTTAATTCAGTAGAGCTTTTGAATAAAGTTAGAATTTGAAATTTTTTAAATTGGATCCTAAGTAGAGGTTGTATATTTTAGGTAACTATTTTTTCTTACCCAATTTTATACTTTTCTATATTTTATAAAGACAACCTCAACACTTTTTTTTTATAAAATTGCTATTATCAAATATGGTAACATTATATTGAAGGATATTATTATAAAATTAGCAATACAAGTGTTTTAAAAAATATTGTTACAAAAAAAATTAAAAATAAATAAATAAATAAAAAATTAAAAATTTAATTATAAAAGTACTTATTATAATATATCACCAAACACCTAAGATGTTTTCACCAACCATAATTTTTTTTTTTTGACAATTCTAGTCACAAAAGCGGTTCTATTATTCTAACAATAGCCCCATTTTAATTTACTTACTCCTTTCGTTCTATTTTAATATCCGTTTTTGGAAACCTAACTTTTTAAGATGTTGTTTTAAGTATATATTTTTTTATTGTATTGGTAGTGAATGAATTATAAATCTATCCATACTGAGTCCAAGTGATTTGATGATGTTTTGTTTTTATAAGTTCAATACAAGAAGGTAAATTAAGAATGCTGTAAAATATAATACATTGACTTTGAATTGGAATAATTATTTTGTAACAGCTAAATATGGAAAAGTGTACACTTATAAGCCCGGAGGGAGTATTAGCCCCCATGTTATTTCTAGCTCCCCTTTTTCTTCTATTATAACTAGTCTTCCTTATTTGTCTTTTAGACTTTTAATAGGACTTGTATCATCTAAGTTATTTTAAGTTGAATTCGCTATAGATTGACATGTGACATTTAAAATCTATCTACTGTTGGGGTTAAACCACATCAACTAATTTAAATAAAATTTGAAAATATATTGACGGTGACATTTAAACATATAATACATTGACTTTGAATTGGAATAATTATTTTGTAACAGCTAAATATGGAAAAGTGTACACTTATAAGCCCGGAGGGAGTATTAGCCCCCATGTTATTTCTAGCTCCCCTTTTTCTTCTATTATAACTAGTCTTCCTTATTTGTCTTTTAGACTTTTAATAGGACTTGTATCATCTAAGTTATTCTAAGTTGAATTCGCTATAGATTGACATGTGACATTTAAAATCTATCTACTGCTGATGTTAAAACACGTCAACTAATTTAAATAAAATTTGAAAACTGCACCGTTTTGAAATAAGAAAAATTTGCCAAAGTTTGAAAACTACACCCTTTTAAATTAAGAAAAATTCATCATACTCTAATTACATCATTATCTCTCCCTCATCTTTTCAAAAAAAAAAAAAAAATGATCATCTCTCCCTCTCCTCTTGCTCATTCCCACTATTAGGGGATATTTCTCATAAACAATAAATGATCTTTGCCATGGAATTAAGATGGACGAAAATGTGATTGCAAGCAATAGTAATGGTTAGAAAAAAAAAATATATATATATATATATATATATATATATATATATATATCGAGGGAGTTAAGAAAATACAACCAAAATCCGTATATATAGAAAAGATGAGACATATTGTCGATTAGGTTAGAAGAGAAACAAAGGCCATCGCGACTTATTTAAGATAGGAATAAACAAGAGGGAGAGAGAAAGAGGGAGGATATTTTTTTTAGAAAATATGAGGTAGAGATAATAATGTCAAACTTTGGTAAATTTGCAGTTTTCAAACTTTCTTTAAATTACGTAATATAACACAAATAGTAGATAGATTTTAAATCTCAATATGTAGTGAATTCAATTTAGGATCCAAGTCCCTGTCTCAATGTTATAATATATATATTCAAACCATTAAGTCTACCATCTTGAATTGTTGTGATAATTAATTGTTCAAATTTTTATAATAATATTTTAATATGTGGAGGATGTAGATTTTGGTATGAATTAAAGGGAAGAGGAGAGAGAAGAAATTCTGATATTTTTAACAATTTTTTTGCAAGTCTTTGTAAAACATAATTTCTAATAGAGAAGTGATAGATCTTCCGACTTCAATTGCCGATTACTCCTCCGAATATAACGTGATTGGGAATGAGTCGAAAAGAAAGAGATGTTTACGGGAATTTTTTTAAGAGTTCCAACAGGATCCAACCACGTTGTATTCTAAGGAAGAGTCGATAATTAAAATCGGAAGACCTATTATTTTTCTTTCTAATAACACATCTTTTGAAAGATGCATTTAATAGCCTTGTTGTGCCTCAAAACACGGTAGTGTTGAGGCACAAGACACATACAACATAAGACCTTTTCCATCTCAATTGAGTAATTTTCTACAAATATTTTAATTTTTTAAACAAATATGCA